TTACAGATTTGTGATTTCCCTAAAAACACAATATTCCATCCCAATTTATCTTTCAGAACCTGTCAGGCCTAGCTGTTGTAGTCGGGTTGGGGTAAAAAGCATTCACTTCTGGGGTGTTTGGGCATAAGTTAGCAGTGTGGGAAATGGATGAGCAGACAGTACAAGCTGGTGTCTTGAGGCCCTCAAAGGGTCTACAAAACTGTTCCGTATCCAGCATACTCCAGTCTGCTTTGTAGTTGAATTGGACCAGTGATGCAGACACCCTTGTGGAGAAAAAAGGTGGTAGTCATAAAAGGATGTGCCACCATACTTGTGCCCCAAGTCCACCAGCTTGTGGAGGTAAAGATCATATTTTTCTCTCCTGTCAGGGTATACTGAACAAACCACATCCCGATATATCCCAAATATGAGAACAAATTCCGCTATGCACAATTTGCAAATCAGTCTGGCATCCCTGGATTTCAATACTACAGACACACCACCATAAGCGTATGTCTTGTTCTCAAGGACATCTTGGGAGGCAATGATGAGAAAGACCAAATTCATGTTTTATCCCTCCAAGATGTCCTTTTTAATATTAGCTGGGACCATATGTGCAGGGTTAATAATATGCGGGTTCTTAGGGCCAATTGGGATATTACCAGATTGGGTGCTGGGAAGAGTTGCGGAATCAGGAGTAACCAGTGTTAATGGAGAACTCAATTGGGTTCCTGAGTCCATCTTATCCAACTTATCCTCTTTCGCCACAAAGAGGATAGAACCGATGACAAAACAGCCTGTAAATCGGAAGACTGGCCATTACTGGATCCCTAGTGAGTCCTGTGACCTCCTCTGCCAGCCTTGGCAAATGGCGTGACCTCCTCTGCCAGCCTTGGCAAATGGCCCTCGCAGCCCAACGGGCATTTGCCCGGTGTGCCTGATGGCTAGTCCGGGCCTGGTCTAAATAGGGGCAAGAAAGAATGAGGGAAGAGAATATTTTTGCCAGTGGTGGCAAAATTAGCTATATTAGCTATGTTGTCTTAGGTTGCCCCTTCCTCTATTCTTATTGACCCCTACTCTTATAGCAAAGGTAGCAGTCTAGGCCCTCATAAATTGCATGTATTGATTCCCAACTCCTTATCATACCATTGTCCAAAATGACCTTTATTCATAAATCACTTGCTAGAATATGTAATCTGGTTCATCGCACTGTACAGCGTTACAGAATTTGCTGGTGCTGTATAAATAATAAAATAATAATATTGCAAACCTATACCTTTCCTTTCGTCTGACCATCACACCAAATTAAATGCTCTCTGTTTCCCCAAGAAATAGTAGGTAAGATAACAGCATTCACAAGCATGTTCCGGCAGTATCACAGTGTACTAAACTGCGTACATCGCATGGCGACACTTACATACATATAAATGCATGTAATGCTGCTTAAAGAAGCAGAACTTGACATCAGATTTTTCATTTGTGTTTGTTTGACTTCCTTGGCTCTTCTGGGATTAAACTCCCATCTGGTTTCATATTTCTTGACTCTGGTTATTGTCGTCAGCTGTATATGGTCTCTGCAGACTTAATGGTCTCTGCAATGTGTACGCTTAAGTGTGTGTGTGTGTGTACATGTTTTGCTTTTAGCCCCGGATGGGAAAATGCTCCTGATGGTAATCAGCCCTGTGAATAAACTCCATGTCATGAGAGCGTAGAGACCCCGAGGACTGGATGTTGCAATTTATTGGAAGATCCAGCCAAAAAAAACGACTTGGGTTTAAAAAGATAAAAGTCTTTTGGAAACATATGGTACTGTAGTGGGGGCAGAGGCTATGTGGAGACAGTGAGAGATTTGAGCTGTGAGTTAATTGCTGGGAACAAAAACACATGATAAATAATCGGAGACCTAGTAAATAAGTCATATTAACAGGAAGGCATCACAAACTAAATAGTGGATAATATGCGGCTTTGCCCTTTTTTCTGCACTTACTGTTATTTATATGTATTTTTTTTTTCATGAAGCCAGCTTACTACAGAGTGCAGTTGTCTGCTCCCAATTAATGATATAGGAAGGTCAGTAAACTTTTCAACTGAGCTACTTATCATGGTGCACAAACAATCTGAACTATTTCAGTGGCAGAGGGTTAATCTACATTGTTTTGTGAATAGTAAAAACATAAATCTGAATCCTCTGTTTGAGGATTGTTTTAAAATAATAGTCACACATTCCCAGTACTTAGGGCATGCAGAAATTATAGCACATAAAAACCCCAACATTTACGAATTGATTTTAATGTGATTCTGTAACCTGTATTCCTCTAAAAAAAAAAAGGTCAGCATCTGGCCATCTGCAGCATAGTAATTGGTTATTTTGCTTTCCAGGTGATGGCACGAGCGAGGGTCAGGACAGGGTGGATCACTACCTATGATGGATCTGGCTAGTAGTGGTGACAAATTGTCTTTTATTGGTCACTGCTAGTCAAGGGTATTTAAGATAGAATTCAGTTTGAATTCTCAGTTGTTATTCATCTTTCTTACTTTCTTTCTTCCTTCGTCTTTCTCTTTCTCTGCTCATTTTGTTTTGCCATTTACTAGTTAAATCACTTATGCAAACCACACCTCCCTTGGCTGTGACTTACACAACTTCCTTGCACACTTCCTGTAAAGAGAGATCTAATTTTTAAACTTTCTTTATTTCATAGTGTGTTTAATTTAGGATATATCTTACATCCTGCTCTATTATTAGGTTGCTAAAGCCTACAGGAGCCTTACATTTCTGATTAAAGTTTAATTGACAGCGCTACGGAATTTGCTGGTGCTATAGAAATCATTTAATAATAATAATAATAATAATAATAATTGGCAAAGCAGGAGATAATAACTTCTAGAATAAACACCCTGTATTGTAAGATCTTATTTAAAATGAAATGTTTGTTTCATTGAAGTTGTATGAGCCCCAGCCAGGGGAGGTGTGGCTGCATAAACAGTCTTTTAAATAGGTAAATGCCCTGTGGCATAACATTAGAGTTAAGTCCCTGCTTACTCCTGGGAGAACCAGGTATCCCCTCTATCTACTGGGCTACATTTAGTGTCCCCAAACAGACAGATAAACTATATATTGCTCTCAAAGTGAGAGCTGCATGCAGTCTTTTAAGTAGACATTTAAATACCCTGCAGCATAGTGTGGTGTGAACAAGGTTAAATCAATTGATACCTGGAGTTGCCATATGTTATCTGAGGCCAGGTTTTGTAGTACTAGACTTACTGATCAAAGTGAGCACTGCATAGAACCATTTAAATCACCTTTGCTGAGCAATCGTGCACGGCCACCATAAATCCAGGGTTGAAAGCAGCTCAAGGGAGACCACCCAGGCTGAAACAGTCCCCCATACTAATTGTTATCCATGCCGGGCTTTGCTAACTGCCCAGCACCAATCAGAGTGTAATCAGCATGCTGAGGTTCAAAATACATTATAGTCACCAGAACAACTACAGCTTAATGTTTTATTTCTGGTGTCTATAGCCTGCCCTGAAAGTTGTTTGCTGTAAACCCTGCCTTTTCAAAGACAAGGCAATGTTTACATTGCTCCCTAGGGACACCTCCAGTGGTAGTCACCCAGACGACCACTAGAGGTGCTTAATGGTCACAATGTGCTCTGCATGGAGACGCTGAACTTTCCCCATAGAGATGCATTTATTTAATGCATCTCTATGAGGAGATGATGATTGGCTAGCGTTGCGTTTGGCTCAGCCCCTCTCCTTGGCTAAGATAGTCAGAATTAATTGTTTTAGTCAACTGACTGAAATAGTCAATTCTGATGATCTCAGCCCAGGAGGCAGATCGAGGGCAAAGTCAAACGCTGGCAGACCCGCGCAGCACTGGAATAAAGGTGAGTTTTTACCTTATTTTAGTGGAGTAAAGGGGGCCAAATAGTGTATTTTACACTACAGGGTCAGGAATACACATTTGTAATTCTGACCCTATAGTGTTCCTTTAAGTATTTCATGGATTTTCTTGTAATGCTTAAAACAGACAGTAGGTAAGAGTCACGGACCACTTTCTACTGTTTTAACTAGAAAACCCATTTGCTGATATAAATACTGATATTAGCAGAGGGTTTCCTTAGGGTTTGCTTGGGGTAAGGAGTAAGGTTAGAGTGGGGTTAGTATGGGGTTAAGGTTAATGCTGTTTTAGCGTTAATTATAGTTTAAGATTAAGGTTAGGGTAGGTGCACTATTAGAGTTAGTGTAAGCATAGGGTTAGGAGTAAAGTTGGTATAGCATTGGGGTTTAGGGGGTTGCTATAGGTTTAGCCTTAATTACCAAAAAAATATATTTAAAAATCAGGACTGGGAGGCGGAGCCTAACCCTGCACAAAGATGGCAGCATAACCCCTTAGCTCCGCAAAGGCCTAGCCTGCATCCGAAGCCATCAATAGCATCTGAGCCCCCCGCACATCCTGCACCCATCCCTTCTTACCCCTGCCACGGCCCGCAATCACCATCTCCATGGGCGGCGGGAAAAAAGCCCGTAATTCAGCAGTGGCGCCGATCTTCAGGCAGAAGCCTGAGCAAACCCGAGCGCCATCTTTAGAGGCCCCCCTGACGGAGTCGGACTCTGAAATGAGCAGTCAGGCTCACTCGGAGAGCACTGAGGCCCCCCTCACCAGGAGCGACATGAGGGGCTTCCTGGCCGATTTCAAGCAGTCTGTGTCCGACGAACTTGAAAAGCGGTTGTGCCCCATACTAGCAAGCATGGCGGACCTCTCAGCTCGAGCGCAGGCCGCAGAAGACAAAATGGCGGCCACTGAAGAAACGGTATTAGCTCATGGGACCGAGCTACAAACTCTCCGTGACCAATTGCTCTCACTTGAAGATACAAATGAGGACCTGAATAATAGAACACGTCGGAATAACATCAGAGTGAGGGGCATTCCAGAATCCGTCTCCACGGACCTACTAACCGATACTCTCACAGAGGTCTTTAAAAACCTTCTCCCAGAAGCTACAGCTGCTGACCTCCTTATGGACCGGGCTCATAGAGCGTTACGAGCTCCCAGCACCAATATGTCCACCCCCAGGGATATCATCGTCAGACTACATTTCTACCACATTAAAGAACGCATAATGAAAGCAGCCCGTGATAGCCCTGTGGAGGTGGAGGGGGTTCCGGTCCAGCTGTTCCAGGATCTGGCACCGACCACCCTAAAGCGCAGGAGAGACCTGCGCCCACTCACACAACACCTTACCCGACATGGCCTCCGGTATGCCTGGGGTCACCCCTTCAAGATCATCATCCGCAAAGATGGCAGGTTCTATTCCCTCACGAAGCCGGAGGAAATTCCCACGCTCCTGGACCAGCTGGACCTGCCACAGATACCCACTACAGCGCACCCCAGCACCGACCAGGCTCCACAACGACCGCCGAGCAGCAATTTACCCACCAGGACCGGTGACCGCTTGCACAGGAACGCGACACCACGTCAGCTGGATGCTACACCGCACTAACTTCAGAAGGATGCCAGAACGGAGCAGCGGTCTCTCGCCCTCACCTGCGGTATGCACTCAGACGGAACCCCGCTCGTGGGGACTGCTGGGATCCCCATACCGGACGGACATTTAAAAAAAAATTTTGTCCCCGGGCCTTGGCTCCCTGGGACGGAGACCACACGCCCCTTTTGCAGCACGACTGGTCATGGGACTCACCTCCCACCCTGGACGCCCGCGCGGGCAGGAAAGTCGGGTCCCCACGGATACTGGGGGCTCAGGTCTGGACTCTCCCCCCACAGACACGGTTGGACCCGGGGACTAAGCACTTGAACATCTGCAGCACAATTTCCTTACACCCCGGGAGCCCGACCTCTCTTCTTTACGTACCATGACCAGTGACAACTGCCGACACCTTGCCACCCGGGGCCGCGGGGACGCGTGGCATGGTGGACGTCATGGCCTCCTAGGCTGGACTGGTAGAGCCCTCGACAGAGACTACACCAACACTCACCCGTGGTATGGACCGCGAGCAGAGAGATACCCGGATCACAGGCTGCCACGCATTCCCCGCCGGCACAGATTTCGGAGGGATGACCACAGGAGGACTGAGACTCTGCCCTGGCCACAGCCAGTATCTGGTACGGGGTCTTCCAGGGGCGCAAACTCTTCAGCCCAGACCGCGGGACACTGTACGCTAGAGTTGCTGTCCCCCGGACCGAGGAGGGGAGGCAGGAGAGGGGCACGGGGGGGGGGATGTCTTCCGGGGGGGAGGGGAGGGGACGGGGGACAGGGACATGACCCCACTGCCCCACCGACAGGACAGGTCTGGCACCACTTCCCCCATACATACCCTGGACCGATAGGAGGATAGGAGAGGTTGGACAGGACAACCCCCGGTGGGCAGCGCAACATGGGGTCTAGGATCCTATATCGCACCGGCGAGACAACCGCCCGGCCCGCCTCCGCAGGCCCCTTTCCCGACGCGGACAACCATAGCAAGCCCCACTGCTGGTCACCAGCAACGACCCCAGAGCGCCCCATCCGGCGCTCCCCCACCGCCCAGCAGGACTGTTCCAAAGCATCAAGAGCACTAAGGGCACCCCAGGACGACTAGGGACCCGGACCCCCGGGAGTTATTCCTCTTAGTTGGATACACCCAAGGTCCCCCTGGGGAGGAGGCCCAGTGAGAACGCCCCTTCCACAGGGCACTCAGACAGACTACAAACCATACCTCCCCAGGCCCCACCTAGCTTAGCATGGCCAGGACCCCCGCACACAGCACGGGGAGCGTCATACCCACCTCACCCCCACCGGCCGACTGACCACCGTCTCCCTGAAGGCTTATGCTAGACACCTAGCCTAGACCTGCCCCCCCATCCCGAGGGGCCAGATCTGGCTAACACAGCATTTGCCCTGTGGGCACCTCCCTGATCTAACTCACCCCCGACACGGCTGCGGCACCAAGACGGTGGATGTATGACACAGGATGCATTAAGTAATCGTAAGGATATTTACGCCTGGCCAGCCCCCACAGCACCCCACTGTACAACCCCCCCCCCCCGACGGAACTGGTACCGAGGGACTTCAACCCTTCCCTGAAACAGAGATGACACTGACGACTTAACCCAGTAGCAACCAGGGGTGAGGGGTTTACAGAAAATGGTTTACAACAAGGGAGGCAGGAGACTCTCACAGAGGTCTTTAAAAACCTTCTCCCAGAAGCTACAGCTGATGAGACCGCTGCTTCCTCTCCTCCTGCAATGTTGAAATGTTTGGTTTGGTTTTATATTGTTTACAGGCACAGTTACACTAGACTGTTAAAAGGTTCTATTGGGAATGCGGGGTGGCTTCGGGATGGACGAGCCACAAAGGGGTTGGGGGTCGCGGGTGGGCGCATACAAAATACAGCCCCTTAGCATTTCGCATACCATGACACAAGGCACATGAGCTCACACCGCACCCCCAAACCACCTCCCTCTCGCAGGCCGATGAGCCGAGAGTGGCAACACCATCTCTATTCTGAGCCCACCGCTTCCGCCCCACACACTGGATCGAGGGGATACCGGTCACAGGCTTGGCCCTGCATGGGCGGGCTCACCACACGCATGCCGGCGTATGTGGGGCGAATCACTAGCGGGCCTGGATGGGGGGGCCACATTGCACCCTCATCACGATAAGACAGGCAGAGGCATATGGGCTGCACATGCTTGGCCCCCAGGTTCGGACATACGGACGCCCCACGCGCGCACATCTGCCATAACACCGCCCCGCGTCTACAGCAGGTCGCTCCCCGCGCAGGCGGGGCCGGGCCACGGGAATCCCTTTGGCCCAGACCGCACCACACAACACATGAACATCACACGTTAATTTGGGACCTTCGGGACCCCACTTCACCTCCCCCCTTTTTTTTTCTTTTTTTCTTTCTTTCCCCCTGCCCCCCCACCCGTCCCTCCCCCTTGGCTCAGATCAATTAGCGCACCCGCAGGCAGGTCGCGGACGAACTCTGTCACTACCTGCAGACACCTCCCCCACTGGCCTCGGCCACCCTGGGTCTTGCCAAAAGAGCTCCGGGACAATATACCGAGACCCCGCCTATTCCACGACTGGCCAGCTTGATAAGTCCAGTTTCCAACCAACTGATTCCCTCCGAGACACTCCGACGTGCCCACGCAGGCAGGGCCCTGTACCACCCCCAGCCTTATCCCCCCCTCTCCTCTTCCCATTCCCTATTTTCCCTTCCTCGCCCTATCTAAGCGGCAACAACCCAGATACCTGACGAAGGCACATCGCTTTCCCCCACCTTTCAACCTCCTACAAGTACTACCAAGCATCACGGATGGTGCAACGGAATTTCCACATTAGTTTCACCTCTCTCAATGTTAAAGGACTGAATTCGCCGGGGAAAAGAGATGGGATACTCCGCTGGGCTAATCGCACAGGGGCGGATATCATACTACTCCAAGAAACCCATTTCACCGACCAGAAGCAGTTCCCATTAGTCAACAGGCACTTCAAACGCAGCTATCTGGCCAACTCACAGGAACCCAAAACGAAGGGAGTAGCTATCTTACTGCGAAACACATGCCCACTTACCGACATACAAATCCATAAGGATTCCTCAGGCCGATTCATTTTCCTTACTGGCTACGTGGGGAACACGTTAATTTGGGACCTTACGGTATGCTCTATATATGCCCCAACCGTCCCAGACACCACATTCTGGCACACATTCCAAACCCATCTTGCCTGCCTCTCAGCCAAACATCTAATTATAGGAGGCGATCTCAAGGCAATTTACATGCCCGCTCTGGACCGCCGCACACACACGGGCACCGCGCCTGCTCCGACTAGGAACGACCAATTGTACGCCGACTTTCTATCCGCAACTTCCTTACTACATGTCTGGAGGAGCCAGCACCCGTCGTCTCGTGACTTCACCTTTTACTCGAGCGCAGGCCGCAGAAGACAAAATGGCTGGCTTTACAGGTCTAAGCAACGCTTTTACGAGAAAGGCAACAAGGCTGACTCACTCTTAGCACGTTGCCTCCGGAAAAAGCAGGACCACAAAAAGATCTCGAAAATCAGGACCAAAACCGGAGAACTGTCAACAGACCCCGAAATCATAGCCCGTGAATTCCTAAAATATTATACCGACTTATACAACCACACTGCCTCGACATCAGCGGGAGATGCGGCACACATCCTGAAAACCCCTCAACCTTCCCACCCTTTCTAAACGGGAGCAAAACAGGCTGGAAGCGCCCGTGGAGGCGGAGGAGATCGCCTTGGTCCTCAAGACACTGAAACCCAGGAAAAGCCCAGGGCCAGATGGCTTTACAGCCATCTACTACAAGACATTCCAAACGATCCTGATACCACAATTATGCAATGTTTTTAATGCGGTGCTGGAAGGCCACCCACTCCCCCCGACATGCTGGCGGCCGACATTTGCCTTCTACCCAAACCTGGGAAAGAACACCTAGATCCAGGGCACTATCGTCCAATTTCCCTACTAAACATCGATTTGAAAATACTCACGAAGGCACTGGCCAACCGTCTCAACCCACACCTCTCCACGCTGATTCATCCAGACCAGGTCGGATTTATCCCCACACGGCAGGCGGCGGATGACACTAGACGAGCCTTTGACACGATTTGGTACACCAAACACCGCAACATCCCTTCGGTGGTGCTCTCGCTGGATGCGGAGAAGGCGTTTGATCGCCTTCTCTGGCCATTCATGTACGGAGTACTCGCGCACCTGCAATTTCCGCCAGGTTTCTTGAACATCCTACGGGCAGTCTACCACCGCCCCACGGGAATGCTCCTACTTCCACACATCAACGCCCAAACTTTCACCATTGCCAACTGCCCCCTTTCCCCCCTCCTTTTTGCAATCGCACTGGAGCCCTTGCTCCAAGCTATCCGCCTTCACCCTACCATTCGGAGAGTGCAGATACGGCAAGAAGCGTACACAGTGGCGGCGTACGCCAATGATATTCTCCTCACTCTAACGGATCCCATATCCTCCTTGCACGCAACACTGCACCTCATAGCCGAATACTCCACCCTCTCAGGCTATAAAATCAATCTAACCAAATCCACTTTAATGCCTATAGCTCTGTCTGATCCACAGTTGCAACTGCTCCACCACTCCTTCCCGTTCCGCGTCACCAAGTCCTTCATTACTTATTTAGGCACCAAGCTATCCCCGGAACTTGGAGATACATATGGAATAAACTATACACCACTTCTCAAAACAGCACACACGGACCTCCAACTTTGGGACAAACTGGGGATTTCATGGATGGGGCAAATCACCACAATCAAAATGAACCTCCTGCCGAGATTTCTCTATCTTTTTCAGACACTACCCGTCCCACTACTGAACTCGGACTTCAAACGTCTCCAGGCGGCCATAGACAAATTTATATGGAAAGCCAAGAAACCCAGGATCCGCAGAACAACAATGTACGTCCCTAGATTGAGAGGAGGACTGGGACTGCCCAACTTTAAAC